CCGCGTTCTAAGGGACTCTAGTACCGCCTTGTATATACCGCGACCTGTTTGTACCGTAAGACCGCTTTGGTCTCCGCGTCCTAAGGGACTCTAGTATCGCCTTGTACATACCGCGACCTGCTAGACCGTAAGACCGCGTTGTATATACTGCGTCTAGACCGGCCATCAGACCGAGCATTATGATTGTAGAGCCAATTAATCGTATTAGGATAGCCACCAGTGTCGCGCCGGCTCCACCTTTATGCACGGCCTTTAGACTACGCAAGTGCGCTAGTCCTTCTAAGGATAAGGCGATCAGGCGGTTGGAATTACATTAAAGGCCACGCGACACCCCGTAGTATTTAAGATCTATTCTGTCTGTCTTAGAATAACGCTAGCTGCTTGCATGCAAACGCCGCGATCCTACCTCACCTCCGCATCGCCTGCACGAGCCGTGCTCGCATCGCGAGCCCTGCACGCGTCAGCTACTGCGTAATAACGCCTCCGCGAACTTCTGTACGCACCGCTCTCGCATGAAGCATTGTAAAAAACCTAGCTCAGTGTTAGTTTCTGATAACCGCTTGAATAAACTAATTGTTCGACCCAATTATAACGAGAAAAAGTAAGTTGGAGTTTCTCCCTTCTCCCGAATCCTGGCACCGGCGAGCCTTGATCCGCGGCGTCGGGAAAGGTGAACCGTCACAAACTTATTCAGTCTTGTTTCCTTCGAAATGACCAAGCATTAAGCGGTTTTGTTTCGTTAGTTTCTACTTTCAGTATATGATGTCAGTCCAAAAATATGTAGTGTTTGAATAAACAAAATAATTATCTAGTATATACAGAGTGTCCTAAAACTACCGTACTTCCTCTTAATGGCATATTCCTTAGAACATTTCAAGACGAAAATCCTAATACAAAAATGTCGAGGCTATAATAGTTTTTAAACGGAAAGCGATTATATTTTACGAATGACAGGGCTGAAATTTTGCGTGCTCAGGCACGTCGAAATGACAAATTAAACAAGTGCTTCTATGAATGGAGCGCTTTTTTTATGATATTATGATTATCGTATAAATTTACAATAGCATTGTCATTATATGTTTTTCCGCTTCTCTACGCATTGCATTAGTACATTCTTTTTACGAATAATGGATGCGAGAATGCATCTCAAAAATGATCCAAGTAAAAATTTGCGACATGTTTCAACTTCAGCTGTCAAAGTGGTCGATTAATGTTACCATGAAGGTGTCTACTATTTCGCCGTGCCTGAGCGCGCGAAATCTCAGCCTTGCCATTCGTAAAATATAATCGCTTCCTGTTTAAAAACTATTATAGCCTCGACATTTTGGTATTAAAATTTTCGTCTTGAAATGTTCTAAGGAATCTACTATTAAAAGGAAGTATGGTAGTTTTAGGACACCCTGTATATGTGTACATACTATAGAATTTTCAATTACAATTACATTTAATCAATTATCAATTAACAATTACGTAATTGTAATTTGTACACAATGACCTTTCGCAATTATCTCATGTAATTGTTTGCAATAATTAACGATTATAAAGTTTTTAATTGCGGTAATTCTTTCGAATAAGGCCTTTTCTGAATTTTGAGAAATATGATCGGATCTCTCGATAAAACTCTTTGTTGAGACTCCAACAGTGATAATCAGTCGGGGGAGCGCAAACCCCATCACCCCCACCCCCCCAAAAAAACGAAAAACCCCCAAAATTACCGAAAATTAGGTAATTGTGTACTATAAAGTCCACTCCACAACCAAACTAAATTTTAGTTTTAAATCAGCAATAGGTTTGGGTTAGGTTATATCTTCCGAAAGTGAAGCTCTCCCTATGGGGGGCTCCACTTTTGGAAGATATAACCTAACCCAAACCTATTTTTGATTTAAAACTAAAATTTGGTTTGGGTTAGGTTATATCTTACGGAAATGGAGCCCCCCCGTAAGGAGGGCGGAACCCACTGTGTCCACGCATATATTTTACAAAGAAAAGCGAGGTCCACCCCACGATTGTTGTGTGAATGAGAAAATGTATGCGTGGATGCAGTGGGTTCCGCCTCCTCTACGGGGGGGGGGGGGGGGCTCCACTTCTGGATGATATAACCTAACCCAAACCAAATTTTAGTTTTCAAATCAGAAATAGATAATTATTTAATTTTGGGTAATTCTGGGGGTTTTTCGTTTTTTGGGAAGAGGAGGTGATGGGGGTTGGACTCCCCCGACTGATTATCACTGTTGGGGTCACAACAAAGAGTTTTACCAAGAGATCCGATCATATTTCTCAAAATTCAGAAAAGGCCTTATTCGAAACAATTACCTTAATTGCATTAAGAATTACATTGTAATTGTAATTTGTAATTGTTAATTAGATTACATTTTTGCCCAACTCTGCATGCAATGCAATTCCTTTGCTTATAGTGTATACCTCGTGAAAGACCAGAATTCCAGCCAAAATTGCAGTCTTCTCTTGAGTATGGATATATTTCTTTATCGTATAAGGAAAAGGCGGTTGCTCTTGCCGAAATACATCTGAAATGCAGCATAAAAACTTTACAGAGGCAAGGTTGTCATAAATTGAAAAATAAAAAAAATGCTTCGTATATGGAAAGAAGACGTCAAACGAGGCGGAACATTAATTGATAAATGGAAATATGTTGAAATGCAGACATTCGAACACTTTCAAGAAGCAAGACAATGTCTTGAGCAGGTACAATTTTAGAAAATATTTATATTATATTATGGAATTAGAAAGATTTCAAAAGATTTACATTAACATCGGTTGTCAGGTAACAACGAGAACTCTGCAGCAGTGGGCGATGGTCACAGCTTTTTGTTAAACGATTATTTCAACTTCTCTGCCAGCGCTAGTTGGAGCGACCGATTCAAGCAAAAATATAAAATCCGGCAAAGAAAAATAATTAGATACATAAGTAACAAAGATCACGCATCTTTGGAGGAAACTTTAGAGACAGCAGAACGTTTTCAAGTACAAACGAGAACAATTAAGTCCGAGTTTGATTTTGATTTCATTATAAATACGCATCAGACGGGATGCCAGTACCAAACTCCATACAATAGATCGCTCGCACCACAAGGCTCGAAGACCGTCCTCAGAAAGAAGAAAAGTTTGCATGATATTTCTCATTCATATACGGCACAATATACTATAACTGCATCGGGAAAAATATTACCTGTCGTCTTCTTGTGCATGCAGGAATCAACAGGGAAATTTGGTCCGATCGTGCAAAAAAAGTGGATAAATTAATAAGCGATTATTAAAACGTTTTTGTTACGTGTTCAAAGTCGGGCAAATTAACAAAACAAATATATACCGATTATTTAAAATATTGTTTGTCTCCGTATATCGCTAATAATAAATTTCTATTATTGATAGACTCGTGGTGAGGTCAAACCGATCTAACATTATATGATGATGTTTTCGAGGATGAAACAGGTAGAGCATCGTGTACCATCAAGGTGATTCCTGCAAAATGCACACCTCTTTGTCAGCCGTGCGATGTGTATTTTTATCGACAAGTAAAAAATTTTATTAAGCGATTTCAAAATTGTTCTATTTTATTACAATAACAGCGAGAAATTGGTACTCGCGACGATGCAATAAAAATATATTCACTGCTGTTGCATCAATTGAGCGCTCCCGTTTTTAAATCGATTCTTTTATATGCTTGGTATGCATCAAAATTAATAGAAGAAAGGCCGATATTTTTAAATATGAATGATATTTGTTTCTCTGTAACAATATTAAAAAAGTTGTGCGCCTGTAAAACTGTAAGTTTTATTCAATGCGCACGCTGTAAAAAAATATTATGTTTTGAATGTTTTTACGATAAATATCATCCTAAAACATGTAATGAATCCGACATTGAATCTGATTCCGAAAACGAATTATTACAACTTTTATCGCATAGCAAATAAATGAGTCAAATAATTTTTAAATATAATAAATTTTATATTTTATAAAAACAATTAATAATAATAATTTGTCTCTTAAAATAATAAAAATACATAACACGTTATTCACATAATTCGTTTCATTGCAAATTAAAAAAAAAAGAAAAAGATATCAAAAAGCAAGGATCGAACCAGCAATACGCAGTGTAGTAGTCGCGCGCCTTACCCACCAAGCCAAGCCGATTAGTTACAAATCTCTACTTACAGCTCGGTATATAAAAAGCACGCAAATTTTTAAATGCGTTTTTTTCGCGAATGCTTGAGAGTTGGATCGTATTACTTTACATGGATTAGTGGGAGGGTAGGACTATAACATACCTCAAGTTCAGCGAAATCGGAGGTGACCATGTTTGGTGTTCCCCTTGTGAGTGCAATAAATGGTACGTAAAAAATGATATTTATTATGTGGGATAAAAATTGTAATGTACTAATCGTTTCGATTCCTTTTGAATCCATCTCGATGGTAATAGATTAAAAAATAAAATTTAATAAAAAAATCGTTATTTATTATCATAAGAATAATAGCTGTCGATAGTTCATAATTCATTTCACATTTATTATTCGGATGTAATGAATCCGACATTGAATCTGATTCCGAAAACGAATAATTACACAATAAAATAAAAATCTTAATAGTTTTAAAAAGTTTCAAATTTTATTGACTACCTTTGTATACTTTTCTTTTTGTACTATAAAATGTTAATTCATTTCACATTTATTATTCGGTATTTTATAACATTATTACATTAGATTAGAAATTAAAGCCATCAAAATGCCAGACTTACTGCATAGGTCTGCATGGGTCTGTTTCACCTTCATGACAACTGTCTGATGTGTCATTATAAAAACAAAAATGAAGCTAACTTAAAAACATACCAATCGTTCGAATAATCCATTGGTATATGAAGTAAATCCAACAGCAAAAAAAATGGTATTAATTTACAAGATCATATGGAACTCCTTGACCGCTCTTATTTTTTAATTCTTAATAGATATATTTAATTTTAATCTTCCGCACTTTTCGATACTTCGTATTTCTTAAGCTTAATTTTATTTGCTGACTTAAGATATAGGATTTACGATATACATCAATGATTAGATATAAATATATATATGCAATGCTGTTATACATCTTTTCGTGCATAAACTATTAAGAGTTTGTATAGATCTAACATAAGTATTTGTTCTTGATTATTCTGTATTGTTTTATAAGTGATCTTTATTTCCATAAATTTACGTGTATATTCGTTCTTGAATTCTTCTTGCAGATCATGTGGCATTTTGTCAAAAAATGGGTAGATAGATATTACCGATGCTACTAAAATAATTCATTAAGATTAAATTAAATTATTAGAATTGAATTAAGATTTAAGTAAATAAGAAAAGAAGCAGCAAACTTATAATGTGATAGTAATTACATAAAGACATAAAGCCTAAAACTTAATTTTTACATTTTTAAAAAATAACTTACATATAAAATTGCTTGAATCTTTCCTAAAGGAATATGTCATTTCTCGAAGACTGCAATGGCAAACCTGAAATCCGATATTTTCAAGTATTTTCCTCAATTCTTTACGAGGACAGCTTGAATCATTAAATGGCGAAACATAATTTCTGACATCCTGTATAAACATAAGAGTATAATAATTAAATGTTTATTGCTGTAAAATTGCGAATTTGATGGAACATGAAAATAATGAAGTTTACTTGTATGTATGGTGCAAAACGAATATCTCGAACCAAAATATTCATAATATCATATGTATCATGAGATGCTGCCAAATTTATAAGTATATTCCCACCAGGTCGAATTATACGATAAATATTCTCAAATGCTTGTCTGTTAAATAAAACACAGATAAATGTAATTAATTTTTGAAGCTTCTATGCTTATTGCAATTTTAGTTTCAATTTTTAATAAAACTCTTAAAATGGATGTAACCATTTTAATGAAATGATAAGCTGATATATTAAACTCTTACTTCTCTTTCTTTGAAATTGTGTTATAATGCAATAAAACTGTTAAAAAATATTATAAAAAACAATTTTGTGTATTAAAATATTTAAAAATTTACATTAAAATTACCAAACCTTACTTTATTTTAAACGTTTTTACAAATTGATACAATATATAATACATTATATATTGATATATAATATATCTTAATAATTTCATAATTTTAGAAAAAAAAGAAGTATTATTCTTTTGTTTAAGAAATTCGCGTTAGTCTATATAAATATATAGGGTGTCTCTGAACTCATTGGCAGTGCCAAAACGGGTACAGCGACTTTAGCATATGAAAACAAGTCGAAAATGTCTAATAAACATATGTCCGAATCCGAACGGTTTTAGAGTTATAGATTATAGGGTATTGAAGTTGCTTTCGTAAAAAACATAAATTGAAGTAAATGTTGTTTAATGTTCTTAAGGCTGATGGCAGAGAACATGATGTAAACGCTTACATCTGTCGTGACATAAAGTAAGGTAGAGAAAAACGTAAATCGTAAGTCGTAAAAGCTATTGTGTGAATGCGGAAAGGGCGTCGGATGTACGTTTCTTTCTGTCTTACTGTTACGACTACGACAGACGTAAGCACTTACATCTCATTCTCTGCCATCAGCCTTATACTGTTCAAAGCTTTACAAAATATGCTCAAAAATTTCTCTGTCGACTTCGACATACTTTCTAGCATAAATTAATAAATTGTTTCAAGCTCTTTGAAAAACGTTTGGAGTTTCGCGGACATATGTTTATTAAACATTTTCAACTTGTTTTCATGTGCTAAAGCCGCTGTACCAGTTTTGGCACTGACAATGAGTTTAGAGACACTCTGTATAAAGTTGCAATACTTTGCAACTTCAATTTGCAAAGTATTAGGATACAATCAATTGTGGTTGATTCAATATTGAAATTATATCAAAATGGTAGCCGAAGAATCGTCAAAAATTTGTACCATTACGATTTCGATTCGATCAAAATTTCAACTTTATTTCAACATTTGATTTTCGATGTTAGTTCAATGTCACATCAACTATATATTTGTACAATAACTGGGTAGAAATCACGTTGCGATCGACCGGTCGATCGCGATCGATAGGTTGAGCAAGCCTAGTTTATATTTACTTAAATTTTCTTTTTTTTAAACGGTCCAAAACGTACATTTTTAATGCACATTAGTTATTAAGATTTAACAATAATAAATCCGCGCTTTGATATCAGCCGATACCTTGGCTCTTATCTGCCAGTTTCCTTCTTGATTGTTAAAAATTTTAACTTACCGGATGTCATAACACCAATTTAAAGCGTTAAATGAGATTATATGATCAAAGCCAGAAATATATTTTTCAGGCAAACTTTTAGTTTGGATATCTAATACTTCGAATTTGAGTCTTTCGTTACCGTATGTTTTCTTAGCAAATTCGATCATATCCTCTGAAATATCGGTACCTTCAAAATATGCAATTATTGAATTAAATAATAATTTAAATAAATGTATGTTGTTACAGGCGTTATTCTATGCATATTATTGTTTTACCTATTATTACCGCGTTTGGATTTAAAGCCGGCAAGAGGACATTTTTCGTTATATCTCCGGGACCACAACCGATGTCCATACATTTTCCAGACATTTGTATTAATTCTTCTTCAAATTCGTCTATTAAATTTAATACATTGCATTTTTGCAGCTTGTTAAAAGAAGCGTATTCTTTCGGCTTCATAATTTTCACAAAGTTTGATCGCACATCTCTTCTATGTCTTGCGTAGTTGCGTACTTCAAAATTATTTCAAAAGGCAGCCTTATATACTCTGGTATCTGGTAGGGGGGATACAGATTAGAAGAATATGAAGTGCACTGTCAAGGAAATTTATCAATGTCGTAAGAAAATTAAATGAGTTTTGTGCAATTTTTATTTTGTTTACTTCTAGCAATAATTTAGTATTCTTGCGGTTATTTGAAACTTTATACATATATGCAAAATTATAATAAAATTTAATTTGTATGAAAGCAATTATACATATAATTTTATTTTTAAAATGTCAATAATCATGAAAAATTTTTTAAACTAAAAAAACAAAAAATGGAATTAGTTTGGAATTAGTCATGAATTAGTTTAAAACATGTCATAATATTTATGACAGATAGAATTCTAAAATATTAGTAAAAATTAAATAAATAAATACATTTATCACAATAGAAAACAAAATTTGCGAAAAGTTCATCTCAAATTGAGTGTAACAGTTAATGTAAAAAGTATTTTGTAAGCAAAGTAAATGCAATACAAGATACAAGACTAATAGCAAGAAAAGTTTTGTGAAATGATATAAAATTACTATACAATACGTACATTTTTGTATTAATTAGAACATGAATTTGATATCAACTACAAGTAAATGTAACAATTTATGTACCACACAAATATGAAGTTTGAATTGGTACTTTCTCGGCAAAACCAAGTTTTTATTAGTTTTGGAAATATAACAATGATTTTTTTCATAAATGATTAGTTAGACAATTCTTAAATGTTTCTTGAATTATATTAGATTTAATTTTGAAGCATATTGGTTATTTTTGAGGACATAGTTAATGAACTCGTTTTTAAGAATTATATGAAACGTCAAATATGAATAATAAACAAGTTACATAACTATCCACAAAAAAATAACCGAAGTGCTTTGAAATTGGATCAAATAATTCAAAATACATCAAAGAATCGTTTAATTAATCATTTATGATAAAAGATTTTGTTACATTTATAAAATTAATAAAAACTTAGTTTTGGCGGGAATGTATGATTCAAATTTCATATGTGCGTGATACATACTCTTAAAATGAGAATGTTAATTTAATTTAACTAAGTTTGTCTAGAATTTAATGTGATTATAATAACAGATGTGAATCATAATATTGATAAAAACATTTGCTTATGTTAATGTTGTAATTAATAGACCATATATAAGTTTAAATATATAAGTTTTCAATTTTACAATTGTTTAAAAATTATATGAAGTAAGATAATAACAAATAAAAAATAACATAGATGGCGCGCGCGCTGTAATCTGGTCCATAATAAAAATATGGTTCATTCATCCATCCATCCATCCATTCATCCATAATAAAAAAATCCGTATAACGTCTGAAATGTGTTTTTGAGTCGCATTAATCGAATCTATTGTTGCCATTTTTCCGCGTGTCCGATTGGCGGTCGATGAGAGATATGAACGTTTTATCGAGTTCAGTAAGGTGTTTGACAGTTTGATGACAGTTCGGTGACAGTGCGATGACATTTGTACATCGTGAATGGAGTTAGTAAATATTCATAGTACATTAATATTTATTCGTGGAAAATATATTTAAAGTATATTTATAAATGCGTGTCTGATTGTCGATGATGTGAGTCGAATATGGTCAAGTGAATGTTATCGAGTTAATTCGACAATTGGTGACAGTTCGGTGACATTTCGTGAATGATTAGTATTAAATGTCATAGTATATTGATATTTATTTTTGTGAATATATTAAATTAATATATTTAAAATATATTTAAAAATACGTGTCTGATTGATGGTCGATAATGTGAGTCAAGTATGGTCGACTGATTCGAGTTTGTTCATATATCGTGAGCAAAGCTAATAGTAATATTTTAATGGTAATATAATATATTAATACAATATTTTAATTATAAGACATTTTAATTATCATTTTATTTTCAAAGATTTATCTATGAACTGTAGAATGAATCATGACAAAATATGGCACATAAGGATGAGATATTAGAAAAGAGGTAAATAAAACATTAAAAAAGTGCCAATTATTTAAAATTTAATTCCAATAACATGTATGCAATATATTTAAATGACAATTTAAATTTGAAAAAGCAATGTTGCTATAAGTAATCACAATTTTATGTTATATCGAAATAGGTTAGGTTTTAACTGTGGCCCACTAATGTATCAACAAGTACGCAACATTTAAAAATGGGTAAATGATAAAACGATAAAAAATGAATTTGATGTCCAACTCCTCTATTGGATCCAAAAACTGATACTGATCTTACACCAGCGTCTAAAATGAAACAATTAAAGGACAAGTAAACAAAAGCTAAAAAACATTTAAAATAGGCAAATGGTAAAGCGATAAAAAATTAATTTGATGTCCAACTCTTCTATCTATTAAGTCCAAAAACTGATACTGATCTTATACTAGCGTCTAAAATGAAACAGCCAAAGGATAAGCAAACAAATGCTAAAAAATCGGAAATTGTAAAGGAAGGGGAGCTTATAATACAGCACTGTGTGTTAAAAAATATTTTGGATGAATCTATTTATTACATTTTAATTGTATAGGACGTATGTATTCTGTGAGCCCATCTCAAATTGAATTATTTCATTTACGTATTCTTTTACTACATGTTAAAGGCGCTACGAGTTTTCTAAAATTAAGAACTGTTAATAATGAAGTACATCAAACTTTTAGCGCTGCATGCTTAGCATTAGGTCTTATAGAAGATGATGAAGAATGGAATCGTGCAATGAATGAAGCAAAAATTTGGATGATGCCAAAACAACTTCGTTCTTTATTTATTCGAATTTTAATTCATTGTCAACTAGTGCATCCTATGAAACTTTGGGATGAGTTTAAAATAGATATGTCAGAAGATTATATAAAACGATATGGATTAACAATAGGTGTAAAGAAAGCTTATAATCATATTATTAATTTATTACAAATTGAAGGATCAAATCTTTCTAATTTTTCTGAATGGAACAAGTAGTAGAGGAATTTGAAATAGAAAATGAAGAACACATTCAGAAAGAAGTATTATTAGGTATGCAACAATATAAACAATTAAATGTAAAACAAAAAGAAATTGTTGATATTATCTTAGCAGCAACGGAAGATAATAATAATCATGATACATGCTTTTATATTGATGGTCCGGATGATTCTGGGAAAACTTTTGTTTACACAACTTTGTACTATTTACTTAAAAGTAAAAACAAAGAAGTAAATACAATTGCATTCACTGGCATTGCTGCAACATTACTTCCGAATGAAAAAACAGTACATAAAGTATTTGGGCTGCCTGTACCTCTTCCGGTAAAACACGTATTTTGATTTATCAAAAAAGCTACCCTATGACATGGATACCGATCATCCCCCACCCCCTGGTACGGGGGTAAGAGGGGAGTTGAAAATTTTAAATTGGATTAAGGGTCGAGTGGGGGCTCGTTTGAAAGGTCTATTCATGACAAACATACCCTTAAAATTTTAAGTCGCTACGACCCTCTCATTCAAAATGGCGGCCGTTCAAATTTCGAAATTTCATGCACTTAGTGTTATCCAGAATCAACTGCGTGGAAGTGGCATGAATTTGATCCCTTATGTGTGTGTGTGTGTGTGTGTGTGTGTGGGCGCGTGTGGCTAAACAAGTGTGAATGTGTACATAGTGGTGATAGGTTGCAGAACAGACGATTGAAAACTGTTATCTCTCTTTAATGATTTAAAACCTTTTACTCCGTGTTTTAAAATAAATTTTACTCAGTGTGTTATAGTAAATGCTGAAAGTGGCTGCCATTTACTTCCTGACAATATGCCAATCTTTGATAGAATGCAGAAATGGCTCTATGATTCGTCTCAAAAGGTATCAAATCTATTTCATCCCTTACTCGCTGTATCAATTCTTGGATGCTTTTAAGTTTTGTTTTGTAAACCTTACTCTTCAGGTATCCCCATAGATAATAATCAAGAGGAGTTAGATCTGGTGACCGAGGTAACCAATCCTCTCCTCCCTCATTTCTGTTTCTTCTTCCTATCCATCGTAATGGAAAAGTCTCATTTAAAATTTGACGTGGCCGTAAACCAAAATGAGCAGGAGCTCCATCATGCTGAAACCATATTTCTTCGAAATTATTTGGAAAAATATTTCGTATGGCTGGAATTATTTGATCTACAAGTAATCTTTCATATCTTTGAGCGTTCAGATTTTCTTAAAAAAAAAAACGGCCCTATTAAGTAGCCGTCTATTATTCCACAACATACATTAATTTTTGTGTGGATATTGTGTGTGAGTTTCCCGCACCCAATTCGGATTCTCATCTGACCAGAAACGAAAATTTTGATTATTAACTTCTCCCGTTAACGTGAAAGTTGCCTCGTCTGTAAAAACATTTGATAAGGGAAAATGGGCCGGACATCTATTAGTGCCATCATTCTTTCACAAAAACCTATACGACGCTTCAGATCTCCGTCTTGCAATTCTTGAACATATTGTAATTTGTATGGATAGAACTTGTTTTTCTTTAAAATTTTCCAAACGGACTTGGGAGCAATATCGTGAATTTGAACGGCTCTGTTATTAGTAGAATTGGGATCTTCAATAAATGTCTGCATAATATCAAGTTGTTTTTCTTCGTTAGTGGCAGACGATGATCTCCCTGATTTAGAGCGATTTTTTACGCTACCAGTTTCTCTAAATCGTTCTATTGTTTTTAAGACAGTGGACTTATTAATTCGACGATTCGGATAGGTCTCATTAAATAATCGAGCGACAGCAGCGTACGATCGCTCGTTGTCACCCCATCCACGCATCATGAGGTTAGTGATTCTTTCACGTTCCGACAATTCGCCAGCCATGTATGGTGTGGAATAATAGACGGCTACTTAATAGGGCCGTTTTTTTTAAGAATATCTGAACGCTCAAAGATATGAGAGATTATTTGTAGATCAAATAATTCCAGCTATACGAAATATTTTTCCAAATAATTTCGAAGAAATATGGTTTCAGCATGATACA